TAGCCATACTTTCAACCATCAAAACTTTGGGTTAAAATTTTTGAAGAAATTTTGAGAAAAAATACTTTGTTAAATTAATTATAATTATGCATTAGTGAAAAGTATAGTTAGGAAGACTAAAACTATAATTTGCCACTATGGGACAAAAGTGTGGAAGTGGGAGGTATAAAGATTGGACAAATTTTAGAAAATGAAAAGGAAAAAACATAAAGAAGTAAGCTTTATGCTTTAATATTCTAGATGCACATTATTGCCCTATTTAACAGTTCATATGTATATATTCAATCATAGAGTTGCATCAAGCACAAAATTTTTGGTCAACCCACTTGCTTTAATTTGTAGCCCTACCTATATATCTATAGAATTATTGCCTTCTAAATTTGTAAATTAATGCGTCTTTGCCCTTGCTAGAGAGAGAGCATTGTTGTACTTAGAATCTGTTTATTATTTTAGATTTACTGAATTTTCACAATATTTTTGTAGAATTGTTTTTAGATTTCGTGATTGAATAGTAGAAATCCAAAAACAACAATTTTATGTTTTCAGATTTTGAATTTAAAATTTTAAGAGATAAAATTACTATTTCATGTTATAAATTCAATTCATTTTGTTAATATTAAAACAAGTAAATTATATAACATTATTGTGAAATAATACTTGTACAAAATTTATAACATTATTAACATTATTTTATATTAAGCTAAATATTTAGTTGGTAGCTACTCTTAGTTTATAAATATATTGCTAAACATCATTAAACAATTTTAAATTGAGATTCAGTTTTCAAATCTGCTACCAAGAAAACACTGCAAACAAATAATACAATTCTCATTTTTATTGAATTCGTTGTTTTTAGATTTTGATCACTAACCAAACATACCTTAAACTTTTTAGATTAAATTAGATAATTGGTCACGAACTAACCATATTGTTACTTATCTTCTATAATTTTGAGTGATTTCAAATACTAATGGAGATTCCAAATGAATTATGTTGTTTATTATCCCATGAAGCTCAACAAATGTTGTTTATAGTTTAATAAAAAAAATAATAATAATAACAATTCCAAACTAAAAGATGATAATAATTTCACATGATTTCGTTAATTATAACATGAACTGTTGATTTAACCTTATTGTAATTTTCTACAATAAATTAAGATAAAAAAATATGTTAGTAAATTTATTATTTTGTTTTCTTTTTTCTAAGGACATAAAAAAAATACATTTATTTTAAATAAGATAAAGAATTTCAAATTTCAAATCATAGAAATTAAAAACAAAATAATGAATATCTTTTTTTAGGCAAACAAAATAATGGATATGAAAGAAAAGATTAAACCGAACCAGGAAAAAATCCCAACCCTAACACTATATAATCAACCAGTTAAAAAAAAAAATTTACATTCAACAATAATATCCAAATCTAACTAAAGAGTTATCTTACATGACAAAAAATAATTAGTACAAAAGAAATATATATCATCCGACCAAATAATGCTTGTAACTAATAACAATTTTTTTGGAGTATTAATTTCATAATTTATCTAAGTTTATAGTTGAGTTTAATAAAATTGAAAATTTAAAGTTAAAATTGATTCGGGGTAAAAAGTAATTTATTTTTCCCTTGATGAGGACTATTTTTAAAGTTTAAAATTAATCCAAAAACAATTCAACTAAAAATAGCTGAAGGGCTAT